GAAAACCTGGCGTTATATATATTATGGTTACCTTTTTTTTTACACTTATTTGTGTTTTCTGAATCCAAAATAGCAACATTTTGGTTCCGGATTCCAGGAATTAGTAGTATGTAATAACGAATAATAAATAAATTATTATGTGATGATTAACAATAACATGATTGATATATATATATATATATATATGCATTACTTATTTTTAAAAGGTATGTTTATCTTTATATAATTTAATCTCTTTATTACAACAACAACAACAACAACGGCCCAGTATAATCCCACAAGTGGGGTATGGGGAGGGTAATATGTACGCAGATCTTACCCCTACTCCGAGGGGCAGAGAGGCTGTTTCTAGGAGACCCTCGGCTCAAGAAAGCAACAAGAGACGATATATTAGTACCATCAATAGAATCATAATAAAATAACAACAATATAAGAAATACGAAATATATGGAAGGTATAATAATAACCAGCAGATAAAGTCCTGCATCAATAGATGACCAGTAGCATCCTAAGACTAACTCCTAATTGGCTAGTCTCACTCCAGTGCGCTGTAGAAATATTCACAACTTCCCCCTAACCTACAACCTTAATGCTCGACCTCCACAATTCCCTGTGAAGGGCCATGTCCTCAGTAATCCAAAGTCGCGCCATGTCCTGCCTGATTAACTCTCCCCAATACTTCTTAGGTCGCCCTCTACCTTTCCTCGTGCCCACCACAGTTAGTCGCTCACACCTCCTCACCGGTGCATCAGTGCTCCTCCTCTGAATGTGTCCGAACCATCTGAGTCTTGCTTCCCGCATCTTGTCCTCCATGGGGGCCATGCCCACCTTCTCTCGAATATCTTCATTCCTAATCTAATCCATCCTTGTATGCCCGCACATCCACCTCAACATCCTCATCTCTGCTACTTTCATCTTCTAGATGTGTGAGTTCTTAACCGGCCAACACTCAGTCACATACAACATGGCAGGCCTAACCACTTATAAAACTTACCTTTTAGTAACGGTGGCACTTTCTTGTCACACAGAACTCCCGACACTAACCTCCACTTCATCCACCCCACCCCTATACGGTGTGTGACATTCTCGTCGATCTCCCCGATCCCCTGAATAACCGACCCAAGGTACTTGAAACTACCTCTCTTGGGAATGACTTGAGAGTGAGGCCTCACGTCCACTCCCGCTTCCGTCGGCTCGACCCCAAATTTGCACTCGAGGTATTATGTCTTCATCCTGCTCAACTTGAAACCTTTAGACTCAAGGGCATGTCTCCAAATCTCTAGCCTCTTGTTGACGCCGCCTCGAGTCTCGTCAATTAGAACTATGTCATCAGCAAATAGCATGCACCATGACACCTCCCTTGAATATGATGAGTTAGTGCATCCATCACGAGGGCAAATAGGAATGGGCTGAACGCATACCCTTGGTGCAACCCCGTAACAATCGGAAAATGCTCGGAGTCGCCTCCTATTGTCCTAACCCGAGTTTTAGCTCCATCATACATGTCTTTAATCACCCTAATGTAGGCAACCGGAACCCCTTTAGCCTCTAAGCAGCTCCATAAGACCTCCCTAGGAACCCTGTTGTACGCTTTCTCCAGATCAATAAACACCATGTGGAGATCCTTCTTCCTATCCCTGTATTGTTCCACCATCCTCCTAATAAGGTGGATAGCTTCTGTGGTAGATCGCCCCTGCATGAACCCGAACTGGTTGTCTGAAATAGACACCCTCCTTCGCACTCTCATTTCTGCCACTTTCTCCCAAACTTTCATGGTATGACTCAGTAATTTGATACCCCCTATAGTTGTTACAGCTGTGGATATCGCCTTTGTTCTTATACAACGGAACCATTGTACTCCACCTCCACTCTTCAGGCATCCTATTAGTCTTGAATATAACATTAAACAACCCAATAAGCCATTCCAAGCATGCTCTACCCACACACCTCCAAAGTTCAACCGGAATTTCATCTGGCCCGGTAGCTCTGCCCCTTCTCATCTTACGCATTGCCTCCATGACCTCATCGACCTCAATGTCCCTATAATAACTTAATTCGTGGGGACTGTCGGCATTCCTCAATTCACCTAGTACAATATCCTGATCCCCTTCTTCATTTAGAAGTTTATGAAAGTAGGTCTGCCACCTCCTCTTAATCTGGTCATCCCCCATCAAAACTTTGCTGTCATCATCTTTTATGCACCTCACTTGGTCCAGATCCCGAGTCGTCCTCTCTCTCACCTTAGCGAGTCGGAATAACTTTTTCTCCCCTCCTTTGTTCCCAGTTCCTCGTACAGGTGAGCAAAAGCTGTTGTCTTAGCCTCCGTTACTGCCATCTTCGCCTCCTTCCTAGCTACCTTATACCTCTCACTGGTCGCTCTCCTCTCCTCCTCGCCAGTGCTCCCTACTAACCGCAGGTAAGCCGCCTTCTTTGCTTCCACTTTACCTTGGACAACTGCATTCCACCACCAGTCTCCTTTGTGGCCACCGGTGCGGCCCGAAGATATCCCTAACACCTCTCTCGCTGCCTTCCTTATACAGTCCGTTGTCGTTGACCACATAGTGTTTGCATCCCCACTACTTCTCCAAGCTCCCATAGCCGATAACCTTCCTTCCAACTCCTGAGTTTTATCCTTAGTCAAGGCGCCCCACCTAATCCTCGGACGGCCTCATACTGACCTCTTCTTCCTCCTTATCATATACCAATGTCCATCACCAAAACCCTATGCTGCGTTGCGAGGGTCTCACCTGGGATAACCTTGCAATCCTTGCATAACCTTCTGTCGCGTCTCCTGAGGAGGAGATAGTCAATCTGAGTCTTCGCCACCGAACTTTGGTAAGTAACCAAATGCTCTTCCCGCTTCGGAAAACTTGAGTTCGCATATATATGAATTTTCGTATAACTTAATTGGGTTATTACGAAACATGTGTGGAAGGGGATTCACCCGAACCTCCTTCTCCGAAAAATTATACTGTGCGCATAAAGCAATATCCAATTTGTACCTCTAGATATTATATTTTGAATCCTTTGAGATAACCCATAAATATAGCTCAGTGGTTCAAAATCTTGTTAGGTTGATGGTTAAATTCTTACCGATCATAATTTCTTTTTGTTTTTTTAATTTTTTCCTTTTTTAGGCCCATTAGCAGAAATTTTGTCTTCGCCGCTGTTACGAAATATCTTCAACAAAATGTTACTTATGCAAAAATTATTTTTTTTCTTATATAATTAATCAATTACGCTATTATCTAATACAGATTATATGCTAAAATTAATTGCTCTAATATCACAACCAAAATCCGAATTTTTTTTTCTCTTTCTTTTTTGGCCTAAATTTATCTTTTAGATTTGTAACCTGTTTGTCCAAGCTTCTTTTTGGCCGAAAATATTTTTTTTTATGTGTTTGACCAAACTTTTGGAGGGAAAAAAATATTTTTGTGGAGAAGCGGAAAAAAATAGCTTCTCTCTAAAAGTACTTTTTTGAGAAGCACTTTTAAGAAAAATACACTTAGAAGCAATTTTTTAAAGGGCACCAAACACTAATTCTTGCTCAGAAGTGTTTTTCAAACTAATTAGCCAAAAACAAATTGTTTATCACCAAAAGTACTTTTGAAAAAAGCACTTTTACAAAAAAATACTTATCAAAATAAACTGATTTTTGAAGCTTTATCCCTTCCTTGAAAAGTGAGAGAAAAAGAGGAAAAATACTGCAAAAAGAAGATTGATCATTAGATTCTGTAATAAGTAGGGTCCATCACATAGCCCCCACTACTAACCAAACAAAATTCTTAGAAATTGATGCCCTAAACTCTGTAAAATACACTGTCCCACAGATAAACCCTACCCCCAATGTCCTTTTCCCTTTATTTTTACTGAGTCACATAAAATTATGTAATCAATTCCTATGCCCATTTTTCTCTTACCATAAACTCTTCAAAGTCCCCACAAACCCTCATTCTCTTTACTTCAATTCAATCTTCCTTATACCCACCCACCCCTCTCAACTGCCCCACCCTCTCAAAACTCTCACAAAAAAAAATATCTCCATTTTTTCATTAATTATGAAGAAACTTTATAGAAAAGGCACAGTTCATCCAACTCCTCCTTTGGTTTCTGACCATCTTTCTTTTTTACCAGTTGCTATTTTAACTCTTGCTGCTGCTTTATCTCAAGAAGATAAAGAAGTCTTAGCTTATCTCATTTCTTGTTCTACCGGCTCCGGCAACTTTTCCGGCGACTTTTCCAACAATCGGAGAAACACCCACAAGCTAAAAACACCCAACTCGGCTTCTGATGCAGTTTCTGGTGCAAAAAATGGTAGCTCCGCCGTGAGCGGCGGCGTTGGCGGCGGCGGAGGAGCTGAACGTGTACTTTCCGGCGAGTTTTCTGGGAATCGGAGAAATACCCACAAGTTGAAGACACCCAACTCAGCTACTGAAACATCTTTCGGTGGTGGAACAAAAGGTGGCGCTGCCGTGAGCGGCGGTGTTGGCGGCGCTGCTGACCATCCAGCTTCTTTTAACTGCGACTGTTTTAGCTGTTACATGAGTTATTGGGTGAAATGGGATTTATCACCTAACCGTCAACTTATTCATGAGATTCTTGATGCTTATGAAGAAGGTTTACAAAGCAAAAAAGAAAAAAGCAAAAAAGAAAGAAGAAATAAAAACAAAGGCTCTAATATTAGTAGTGGTTCTGTTGAGCTAAAAAAGACATCATCTGAGTCAAATTTGAACATAAACGGGTCTGTTCCGGGCGGGTCAGGTGAGCCCGACCCGGTGGAGGAAACTTCCGGCAACCATGGCGGCGGCGATGAAGATGAATGTGGTGGAGAAGAGGGAGGTGAAAAAGGTTCAGTTAGGAAGTTTGTTAGTTTTATTGGAGAAAAGATTTGGAGTGTTTGGACCTAAAAAAAATATTTTTTGAAGGTAATTTTCAAGAAATATTTAGGTTAGTTTTTTGCCATTTCCACTTCTACTTAATCTCATATTAGTTCTTCTTTTTTTTTAATTTTTAATATTTTTTCTTGTGGTTCTCCTTTTGGGGGTCTGTAAAATACCCTTTTACTTCACAATGTAAAATATGGGTAGTAGTTTTGATTTTTGAATGATCACCTTCATTGGTTTTTTCTTATTTTCACATTTTGTACAAATTTTTTGTCCTCCTTTCTTGTAGTTAAAAGTTGCTTATAGAGTAGTTTAGACTAAAAAAAATAAAAGAAAATTAGAGTTAATTCCAAAAAATATTTAGGTTTATTTGTTGCCATCTTCACTTCCACTTTATAGTTTTTGGTTCTTTTTTGGAAAATATGGGTAACTATATAATTTTATAAAATATAGTGTAGAAAATGTTTTATTTCCCTATTGGTTAAAAGTTGTATGGGAGTAGTTTAACTATATAATTTTATATATGTTTTTTCTTGGATTTTATTGATTATAAAGTTGCAAGATAGTGTAGGTATCAGCATTTCTTTCTTTTGTAAAAAAAGGAACATTTTTGTAATTAATTAGTTAAAAGATGTTAAATTGGAATTTTATTTGTTTAATGGCCAAAAGTGGCTAGGGAATTTAGGTCATCTATGGACGGTTTGAAGTCTGTATTTTGAACAGTGACAAAAAAAGTCGGCCATTCTTGAAATTTCTTGGATATAGAGAAAGGTGTGAACTTTTTTCTAGGCCATAGAAAATAATGTTGGTCTAAAAATAATTTTCTGCAACTATAGGTGTCGATTTTTGAATATTCAAAACTATTGTCCTTTTATTTTCTTACTTTTGAGTACTTTTTTTATATAAAAAAAGTTCATTTTGCTCGAGGAAACAGTGGACGACACTTTTCAAAATTTTGTCATACTGCCAGGAATGACTCAGACATTCATGTATGGTCTTTTTGTTTGTGCTTGGTCTTTTTCATTAAAAAACGAAGAGGTAGAACCAGAATTTGAAGATCGTTTAACAAATTTTTTTTGTATATGGAAGTGTCATTACTGATATATCACTATTTTTTAAAGATATATATATAAAATTGTTCAGCCGATGACTCCTCTTTTTACAACATAGGTCCGCCTCTAGGAAAAAGTCCGAATTGGTTTGCTCATTGATTGAAATTGTTCAATTTTATCTTTCGTATTACTCCTTCCGTTTAGTTTTACTTGTTTACTATACTAAAAATATATTTTTACTATTTATTTATCCATTTTAGCAAATCAAGAGAAGGATAAATTTTTTCTTCTTGTTTACCCTTATCATTGATCAGGGGCGGATTTAGATGGGCGGTAGGGGTTCACGCAAATCTGTTTGTTATCTCTATATATATTATATTTTGAATCCCTTTGTCATAATCCAAAAACATAGCTTAGTGGTCAAGGGGGTTCAAAATTTTTTGTAAGGTTATTGGTTCAATTCCCACTAGCTACGGTCTTTTCTAACTTTTATTTTTTGAATCCGTTTAGCTGAAATCCTGGTTCCGCCGCTGTCATTGGCTACTCAGTCCCGAATCGCGGATATACTTTTTATTTAATTAAAATTTATTTTGTATATAGAGTGTAACTATTAATATATCACTATTTTTTGAAGATATATATAACACGGTTTTTTTTGTTGAATTTTTCGATGTTTGTGATCCCTTTCTTTATAACATAGGTCTGCCTCTCGAAAAAAGTTTGAAGTGGTTGGCTCATTGTTTGAAATTGTTCAATTTTATCTTTTGTATCATATGATTATGATGTTCAGGCCAGGTTGTATGTATAAAAGGATAGTCCGGTGTATTAAGCTCTCGTGATACGTGGGGTCTGGGGAAGAGTCGGACCACAAGAGTTTATTGTACACATTCTTATCATGCATTTCTGCAAGAGGCTGTTTCCACGGCTCGAATTCATGACTTCGAGGTTGTATGTATATTTGATTAATTTTATTGAATATTTACTAGGATGCGACCTTTCACTTTATCGCGTAACTTTGTTTATTAATTCTTGGATTGGTTAAAAAAAAATACCTAATTTTTCGTTTCAATTTACTCCTAATTTACTCAATTATGGGTACTAAATGGAAAGTTTGATTATTTATCCTTTTTATTTATATGTTTAATTGAAATATCTTGCTATGAACTTGATTATAATAGTGTACATAATAGTACCAAATACTAATGTGGGTTTGGTGATACAAACACTACCAAC